GGGGGGGGGGGGGGGGGCACAATCCAGAACAATCACGCCAGTCCCATCGGTGGCGAGCGATGGGGACAAATACGACGTTTCCGTCGTGTCCTTCGGCTCTGTAGGTTCGGGCAGCAGGAAGAGGGGACGGCCACCCGACTGGGGAGTACGTGAGGCACGCCGAGGCTAAACGCCAACTACTTGAGCTTGAGCAAAAAAGGAATTCGAGCTTCAGGTAATGAAGGAGGCTCTGAACCTTTCCGTAACGGCCAAGCAGCCTTCGAGAGCCAACAAGAATCTGCATGACCTAACCCCGAGGACTTGGCCCGGGAGATGAAAGCGGCTCCCACGCCCGACCTGGGAGCAGTGATCTCCATCCACGTTGCGGAGGTGAAGAAGGTGGCGGGAGGATATAAGAACCTGCAGGGGATTTTCGTGAGAAAACTCCGGGTGGCGGCTGGGACCATCGCCGCGGCGGCAGAGGAGATAGCCAAGAAGACGATCGTGTCCATCGACGCCGAGGCCCTCGAGAAGGAGAATGCCCGCCTCCGTCGGAGAGTACAGGACCTGGAGAGAGAGATTGGAGCTATCAAGGAATCGCCCACGGCTAAGGAGGAGACCACCAGGGTTTCGAAGCGGGCGGTGGCCCCGAGTGGGAACGGTAGGGGAAGTTTTTACCCATGGAGATGGGCATGGATCCCCCGCCGCCGTCTCCCGCGTCGACGGTCAACAAGATGCCGTCAAAGTCGGCTCGTCCGAGGAGGGAAAACGTCGTTAGACCCGCGAAAGAGGGCTGCGGAGAGAGAGTGAGGGAGGGAAGGCCGAAAACTCTCTCATGGAGAGAATCGGTGACCTCATAGAGGGGAAACTGGCCACCCTCAGAAGGGAGCTGGCCCCATTGCTAGGGAAGGGGGGTAACGTTGCGTCGCCACAGTCCGACAAACAGGCGGCACCCCTCAAGAAGGCGGGTAAGAGAACAACAAGTCGCGGAGCCGCAAGGCCCGCCACCGCACCATCGACCTCCTCCTCCACGGCTACCAGCCGCCCGCCCTCAGATTCCGCTCCACCGGCCGTGGAACCGTGGATGGAGGTGACGGAGAAGCAGGAGAAGAGGAAGCGAACCGCGGCGACAGCGGCGGCTACCCCTATACCGCCGGCGGCGGATGCTGCGGCAAGGCCTACCACACAAAGAAGGGGGTCAGCAAGGGTCCGGCACCTGCCAAGAAGGAATCGGCAAAAAAGCGCCCGAGACGTCCTCCCCGAACGGCGGCGGTCAAGTTGACTGTTCCGAAGGGTGGGAATTTGATTGACCCTGAGGTTATGGCCAAGGCCAGGCAAAACAATAACCTGACCAACTTCGCCATAACCGAGGTTCGTCCAAGGCGAGCGATAACCGAGGAGCTGGTCCTGGAGATCCCCGGTCCCGAGGGCGCAACCAAAGCCGACGGTCTGGCCGGCCGCCTCAGGGTGGTCCTAGAGGAAGACGAGGCACAGGTCTTAACGGTTGCTTAACGGGTGCTCCACGAGCACATGCGTGAGGAGGCAGGGAGAGTCCATAGTGGACTTCTCGTGGGCAAACCCCTGTGCCGCTCGCCGCGTCTCGTGGTGGAGGGTGGAGGAGAGGGTCGAAACACTGTTGGATCACCTATACATCACGATGACCCTCTTCACCGCCCCACCAAAAGGAAGGCCCGCCCGTCGCCCGTCAAGGGACGCGCCACCACGGTGGGCGCTGAGGCGCCTAGACCAAGACGCTCTTATGGCGGCAATCCTCGTGTCCGCGTGGCCGGCTCTGCCGACGGGTCCGGTCCATGATGTGGAGGAGGAGGCAGCCGCTCTCCGGGGCGTGATGACGGCCGCATGCGACGTAGCCATGCCCCGGATATATGCTTCCCCCAAAAAGTGCAGTCGTGTGCGCCGCCAGTACACCAGGGTCCGCAGGCGGCGGGACCCTGCGAATACAGAAACAGGACCAAGGCCCTACAGACCGCCATTAGGAAGGCGAAATCCCGGGCATGGAGGTAACTTCTCCGGACCTTGGAAGAGGATCCGTGGGGGCATCCATACAAGTTGGTAATCAATATCATCTAAAACTAGAAAATATATAAACACTGAGCTTCTCATACAGAAAAACAGGATAAAAAATAGTGTAGTAGGAATTTTTGAGACTGAATCTCGGTACTAGAGGATTAATTAAATAAATTGTTGAATAGTAAAAAGTATATTTCAACAATTTTCATTTTACCGATTATTCTGTCAATATACAGCGGTATGCAATTACAATTCCGCAATAAGAAACGCGATAGCATTCCATAAGCAATATCCTCGAGATTCAAAATATTTGAAAGCAATATTTCTTTAATAACAAACCAAAATTACCAAACCGATATATATGTACTGCGTATTTCTTTCTCGCAATACCCACAAGTTCTAGATCGAAAAAGATCAAATGTACAAAGGTTGTTATGTCACACAGAAAGCAGAACGATCTGCGTTAGATTTTCCGTAACTTAATGCACATTCTTCTTAACAATAAATTACAAATGCGCTTACCACTATACCTATCAGCGCCTAAAATTAGAGCTGCATGAAATAAATTACTTCCGTTTGTCTATTGGAAAGAAATTTTAGGATTAAAGCCTTTTCGCTTTGAAACTCATTTCCATTAGCCAGAAATTCTTTTTACCTCATCGGTCTTTCTATATGTAGATGATTCGTGATGACACTAGAGAATAAGGACAATGAAGCACCGATTAGTCGTAGGCTAGATCACTCATGTCACTATCTAACAGCAGCCAGCTGCCATAAAAATGCTGTCACAGTTATGATTTCGTTTACGCAACAAGAACTATCTCTCTTGGTAATCAAACAGGATACAGAAGTGCGCACGCGTACTATGCACGCAAATATTTCTTTATATTTCAATAGTTTCAGTAGTTGAGGCGTATCATGTACGTCGTCCAATTGATTTTGAACAGAACCGCTCATCTAGGTATCCGGGTATCTGTAAATAATAATTAATTAACATTAAATAACAATAAATAAATATAGAATTAAATGCAATTTAGATAGCTCTAAGCAATAATTAATTAATGTTACATAGTTTGTTCATATGAATCGGTCAAAATAAAGAAATCAGAAATTAAATGCAATTGGGATCGTTCATATAAATCAGATCTTTTGCTAATCACATAAAATGTCAGTTTCTCACTTCGTTTACTGAGTTTAACTAACAATACGATACGATCAACAAATACGAGATCAACCGCACTATTTTTTTTAACCCTTTGAAGCATAGTGGTAACCCACGTTATCACCTCGACTTCTATCAATTTTGGCCATTTAATTTATAGTTAACGCATGTAGGTGTTTTTTTGCATTTTTAATTTTAGCAATAATAGAAAATAAAATAAAGTTAAGTAATCATAATTATTTATTATAAAAGTTTTGTAAATAAATAAATATGAAAAAACAGCGATTTTTTCAGAAAAATTCATTATTGACAAAGTTTTTTAAGATTATTTCTTCAAATTTGGTAGAAAACGATTTTTGGAGTCGCTGATTACGAATCCGCGGTCAGATTCCCAAAAATTCAAGATGGCGGATCCGATATCGTGGACCAAAAAAAACAAAAAATTTCTGGATTCAGATAAAATTTGGTACTTAGGAGTTTTTGAGATCGCTGATTCCAAATCTGAACTAAAAATTCTGGGGATTCTCGGGGTTGCTGATTACGAATCCGTGATATGAATTCCATACTTTTCACATTATGGAGGCAACCCATCTTGAATCAGCCAATTTGAGTTTTGAAAATCTGATAACGGATTCGTAATCATCGACCCCAAAAACCCGTGTACATACCAAAAATGTATGCTTCAAAGGGTTAACTTACACTTCGATTGGATTCAATCTTGATAAATTATGTAATCAATCACATTATTAATAAGAGGAACTCGGTCAAGTCCGAGTGTTCAGTACCAATAAAACTAGAACTATACGTCTGGGAACGCAACGTAAAGCTACTGCACAAGAGCCTTACACACTATTTTATCATTTGTTTTTTAACAATGTTATCTACGTAGATACGTTGAATGTGGTAAAAAAAACAAAGTAATTATACCATAGTAGCTCTAAAAGAGAAATAAATATTGATTTCTAACAGCGAAATTGATTTTTTGTTAACTGCATACAAGATTTTTTTATTGATTTTGTATAACTTCAGCATTATTTTACGTTTTGTTCAATTTTGTAAGATTTTTCATATCGATATTTTCGGAGATAAAGCTGAAAGACACAAGTATATGACATAAACGCAGGCAAACAGATACCATGATGATCCATAAGTTTTTCGTTTTCTCCTTTTGGTACGAAACGTTAAAAATGCACTTTAAATACATACAAGGAATTGAAGTAGAATTCACTACACAACTTAGAAACGAATTACGAATTATTTAATCCAATAACATGCCGGTTTGCGAACTTTTTGTCGAAAACCTTTTGATCGACGGACGTTTTGTTGAAGAACTTTCGTCAAAAGGACGTTTGGTCGAAAACCTTTTTGTCTAAAGGACGTTCTGCCGAATGTTTTTTGTCGAGCGAACGTTTTGTCGACAATAAATAACCTAACCTAATCTAGAGACACTTTTCGATTGCGATAATTCGCTTAAGGATATTCACCTACATAAAATAACCTCATACCCCAACAGGCCAATCTATGGTGTGTAGAAATTGGCTCTCCGTAGATCTACGAGTTTGGCTGACTCGGATGACCCAAGTGGGTCATCAAGGGTGGCAAAATAGTTGATCAACGAAGTTTAGCATTGATTTTATATCCAAGACAATTTTTTTCGACAAAACGTCCTTTCGAAAAAAGGTTTTCGACCAAACGTCCTTTCGATAAAAACGTTTTCGACCAAACGTCCTTTCGATAAAAACGTTTTCGACCAAACATCATTTCGATCAATCTAATTTACATACAAAATGATCTATTGGAACTTGAAGTTAACAGTTATACACGAGTTGAGTGTATTATTTATTGATTAGTGAAATATATTTTTAAAATTGATAAAGACTTTTACAGATATTTAATAATAACCAGACCAGATTGCAATAAATCAATAAGTATCGATACTTACAATTAGTATGGGGTAATTTATTATAGTAACAATACCGTGGAAGTCACATGACTATTGTATTAAAAAAAAAAGTGTATACCTTTCAAATCTAAAAATAATTTCTGAAATTATTATAACTTCAATCCGACCTAAATTTAGGCATCAACATGCTTTTTGGAATTATTTCTGGAATTATTTCTGCAACTTGCATTGATCTATTACATAATTTATACGTCAATTTTGATTGACGTTGAACAAGAAAATGATATTAAGATAAAGCGATGAATGAGAAATAATGATAACGAATTCTTACAAACTTTAATTTTTAAATAAAGCTTACTTGTCGTGTAACAAAAAGTTATCATTTGTGTAAATCTCACGGTTATTCCTCATAACAAACAGAACTTTATAATAATCATATTAATAAGATACTTAAGAGACATGTAACTATAGTAACAACCGTTAAAAAACTATTAATTACAATTTATATCCAAATTCCAGATTAATAAATGCCTTTTAAATTTAGCGTTTTCTATACGGAATATCCAGCTTACAATCAACTTTGCCAGTTCACAAGTCTGAACCAATTAAAATTTTATGGTATAATAGTTTCAGTGATAAACAAACGTCTGAAAGAAACACGTGCTACCATCTATGTAATACTGTATACCTTACTCAAGACATTCTTCAAAAATGACATCAGTATAGCTGTTAACAAGCAATTCATTTGAAGATTGATTTCAAATGACTTTACGCAAGCTAAGATTTCTATACAGTTTATTACATCTTGAAGACAATTTAGTATTTCTGTAATCTGTTGAAAAACCATTGCAATCAACATCCTGCAGTACTATACAATTTAATGGTACAATATATTTTTTCATTTAGTCCCATTTATAATCATTTCATTCTTATTTATACACCACCGTTTTTGCAAGTTTACTTCTATTTTTGGAGTGTTTGCATAACAGCCTCATACAAAAATCTTTATTGACTTTCCAGTGAGAATAAGTACTGTCAACTTTAATTAGCTCTAATGTACAATTGTTCATATTTCAATGATGTAATATACTGTACATGACTTTGGCAATGGCAAACATAAAAAAATTCTATATCTTTGAAAAACTAAATTTGATTTTTAGAAAAAGATGGTTGGAGCGAACCTATATTCACTTAACCTGAAATACAATACAATAACTTCCTATATTCCAAAATAATCTGAGTCGTTACTAATTGACAAATGAATAAAGTAGCTTCTATTGAATTGAAATATATGTAAATATTGGAGCAACTATATTGCATTGTTATTGAAGTCCTAAAATAATCAACAGTCACTTTATATCCCTCAATGATATGGGAAGGTCAAAACAAACAACTGTATAGAAATGATATATCTTCATGAAGATTTCAATTACTGATGGTGACTCTGTCTTAGGCTAAAAGTGATCTGCTAACAAACCTGGTGAAAACAGTTCTGGTTATTTCCTTAGGCAAAGATTAGAACTATTGGATAGAGTAAATGAAATTCGAGATTCACGTGAAAAAATGAAAATACTCAATATTAACCCTTACTCTGTACTGATAAGTTATTTTTCTTCCTACAATTTCTAAAAGTATCGGTTCCTCGAAAACTAATGGCCGAGGAACGGCAGCTGACCTCCTGAAGACAATTACTTTACAACTCTATCATTCCAATCTTTATGTATAAGAATCAAAGAAGGTATATGAGTTTGTTTTCAATTTTTTAAAATACTTTTGCGTCGTTGGAAAATGCGTCTAACATAATTGACCTATCTTTAGGGTGTAAAGGTATAAGAATAACAATACGGAATGAGGATTAATAAACAAGTTTAAGTATCAAATAATGTACGTTAAACAAAAAAGTTAGATGAATGCAAAATTTGTTAGAGGCTTACAACCTTTCAAGTTCATTTTAAAAAGTATCACAAATAACTCATTCCAAGGTTACTCATTCAGCAAAACGTATGTGACCATCTCTATTGCACAAGAAAATTTTAAACCTTCTAAATAAACAGAAGGGCTATTTTAAAGACTTTACATGCCTGTATATTAACTAATTCGAGGACCATAAAGCAGCACTCACATTTTATATACAAAATTTCTCCACTGCCAGGCACTAGGACTTCTGTGCTAGGCATGGTAACAATGGCTAGGCTAGATTAAGATAGCTTAGAATTTCAATACAAGGCTTAACGTTTTTAGGAAAATAAATTATAGTTTCCCCTAGAGATTAGAGCCATTTTTATGTTGTCATCAGTATAGCCTTTCTGTGCAGTTATATGTATGGGCAATTTAAGTGGAAAACTTGAATTTTTATGTATTTCTACGAAACTATGACCGATTTCAAAAAACCAAAAACATGTTTTTTAGGAAATTTCCTTCCCGTTTGAATGGTAAAAGTTTTATCTCGGTCAGATACAAAATGGCTGAACGGCAGGGGTTGGAGTGAAATAGTACATTTTGGAAGTTTTTGAAAAGTGCGAGAACTAGTAGTTCCGGAAGGAAATTCATACTTTTAATTAGGGCACGAGAGAGAGCATCCATCGGCATTAAAAAAAAACACCCCCATTGACCCCCTGTAGCGTCACTCTAGGGGGAGTTACACCCCCTTAAAGTGAAAACACTTAATTGGCCATAACTTTCGAACGCGCCAGCCAATCTGGTCCGTTTCTGCGTGATATCATCTTCAATGATACTGCAGATTCTCACCAAATTATTGTTCTCAGAGATGATCCCGTGACGGAGATCTCGAGATATCGCAGGCGCACCCGAAGTTTCCCCGCTATTTTTCATTGGGACAATTACTTGGCGCGCGTGATAGGGTAGTAGTCACCCGAGTACCTCGAGCGAAACTCGCAAAATTTAGGCGTTTTTCCAAATGAAAAATTTAACCCTTTAGCAAACTCATTTTTGGATGTTTAAAAGCGCGTTTTAATCGTTGAAATCTCAGCTACAACGTGGAATAAATATGAAACTACTATCTCCTCGCATTCCTAATGAAAAATAGCGGGGAAGCAGTATCATTAAAGATGATATCACGCAGAAACTGGACCACATTGACCGGCGTGTTCAGAAGTTATGGCCAATTAAGTGTTTTCATTTCAAGGGAGTGTAACTCCCCCTAGAGTGATGCTACAAGGGGTCAATGGGGGTGTTTTTTTTAATGCCGAAGGATGCTCTCTCTCTCGTGCCCTAATTAAAAATATGATTTTCCTTCCGGAACTACTAGTTCTCGCGCTTTTCAAAAACTTCCAAAATACACTATTTCATTCCAACCCCTGCTGTTCAGCCATTTTGTATCCGATCGGGATAAAACCTTTACCATTCAAACGGGAAAGAAATTTCCTAAAAAAATGTTTTTGGTTTTTTGAAGTCGATCATAGTTTCGCAGAAATACACACAAATTCAAGTGTTTCACTTCAATTGCCCATTACTGTATACAATATTCAATATTGTTATTATAAACAAGTCCAGTAAGCTGGGTAATTTTTCAGGAACTAGGAATAATCCAGGATAACATTAAAACACTAACTACACGTAGAGGATCAGGTGTTTTATTGTGATGCAATTAGAATCTAATTTTTTTAGTCACTGTTTGGACTGTAGGAATAATTAAGAAAAAAGGCTAATTAATTATCTACATGGCCTTTGCATTAGCTTCTACCTTTGGTCTTGGCCGGTGAGTGTCCACCGCGTCGATAGGCAACCTGATCTGCTCTACCTTGCACCCATATGCTACTGGTGTCAGCTTCATTATTGTGTGTAGTGGCACTTGAAGGTACGGTAGCTCATCTGAAAATATCACATAGCAGGCACAATATAATCAAAATGTAATCATTTAAAAGTTGTGATGAATTTAAATCAATTGAACTTTTTCTAACATGTTATCAGATGGAATTGCCAATATTTTAAGAAAAATAGACATTCCTCCAATATATAATATGTACAAATATAACAAGTTTTATAACTAATGAGCAAATTTAAGTACTCTTGTTATTTGCACTTTTCATATTTACATAAACGTGACACAATTCTAACAGTAAACCAAATATTTGATAGAAAATATTAATCTATGTACATTGCATCGTATAACCCTAAGAAATCTAGTTTGATGGTAAAATATTATATTAATAGCAAACGTCACCGCGAAGCAGTATAAGAATAAGCAATAGGAGATGAAGAAAGACAAATTGTATAAAGAGCAACTTCTATAAACTGCACTAATAATGACAGATATTATAATGAGATACTATACTTACCAGAACTTTTATCTAGAAAATATGCAAGTAGGCACCGAAGAACAGCCTGATGGCTAACAACTAAGACATTACCCTGACGTTCAAGTTCCATTATAACTGGCTCTAATCGGGCCACTAGATCTTCATAGCTTTCTCCTCTTGGATAACGATATGAAAACTTATTTTGATCTCGTGCCGCAAAATCAGTTGGATATTTTGAAGCTATCTCCTCGTATGTCATCTCTTCGCAAATGCCCTGAGCATGAACAAAATTTGTGTTTAAAATAAAAAAAATGTAATGCAAGGATGATGAATATTTAAATAGATAGTTTATAGAACAATTTTAGGATCATCTAAAGAGTATAAGGTAAAGAATATAAAAAGTATATGATTGATCATTTTGATGCATAATACTCACAGCATCAATTTCATTTAAAGCCTTCCATCTTTCTTGAGGAGCCTTTACATCAGTAGTTGTTTGTATGGTCCTCTTAAGCCAGCTAGTCCATACCCTAAGACCCTGTATATCTTGCTGGGCTATGTATTCTGCTAAAGCATTTGCATAAGTATGACCTCGTTCACTAAGATCAGAATCACCTCCGATCCTTCCTTCGAGATTCATCAGACTCTCACCATGCCTCGTGAGATATATTGTTCTTGGTACAATGTGTATATTCATCAAATAATAAACTATCCTGCTCTGTATGTGGCCTTCATGTTTATGAACCAAAACTTTTTCTCCTGTATTATAAATTTTCATAAAGCTCAAATCAGCTTCATAATTTTCGTCAAGAGGCTGATATTTTTCTTGATAATGTTCAATGCGTTGCATAAAATCTGCCAAAACCTCTTCCTTATTCATATTAGTATAATCTGGACTACTGACTTTAACCTAAAACATTAGAATTGCACTGTTACCTATCCACATGCCAATTTGAAAAAATTATGAAAGAAAATGAATAAAATTATAAAAATTATAGATCAACATAAAATCTGTACCTCCATGATGTTCTGTTCAACAATCTCTGGATCATTGCAAACAGACTCTACAAAGAAGAGTTTGAAGTCCATTTTTCGTACTACGATGTCATTAATCATTTCCCGCCTTTCAATTGTAGAATTTGTAGCATCAAAAACTGCAACTTCTCCCTCTCCATTCTCTAACCACTGGCATACATCAGTAAGTGCATCCATAGCACATTGATTACGTATTGCCATGGCCTTGATATTGTCAGGGCGAAAAAACTCATGGCATTGATATGCAGTAGTAGCATGCCTCCTATACTCGCCCAGGTTAAATACCTTAGTGTTGATTCCAATCCAATTCAGATAACGGCAAAGCTTTTTTGATATGTAGGTCTTGCCACGAGCTGGCAAACCCACCATGGCTATAACATGTGGTTTGTTTACATAGTTGGCTCGCTCTCCTACAACAAATAACAACAGAACTTAAACTATTCTACCTGCAGCAAATATCAATCATTTTACTAAATCTAGGTAAATACTTGTTAATTTATAGGGACATGGGATGTCTTATTCTTAAAATCTACGCAATTGTTCTTGACTCACATTCTAGTTTTATTAACCTCCAGGCGGCCGGGATGGCACGTTTTGGTGTCATTATTTCTGACTGATTAAAATTTATCCAAACTTAAGGTTAATATGTATAAAACCATTCAGTATATACACATAATATATTTAGAGGGTATATAAGTATGTCCACCCCCTAAAAAAGAATAATCAAAGATGAAAGTCCGTATTCACAACTCACTCTTAAAGTCAGTAACAGAGTCGCTTGCAGTTAAAAGTCACTAAGAAAAAATTTAAAAGCGTACTATTAGCACTAAAAGCGAGTTCTGAATACGGACTAAAGTGTAGAACCCGTGATAGTAGTACGCAGTAAAGGATGGATTGTGAAAAAAGGGGTTGTTCGGCTCCTATAGGGATAGTTTCACTATTTTCCAAATAAATATAAACCAATACTGTTCCAGGTAACCATTCAACCCCCCAAAACCCACCAAATGCTAATATTTCTAAAAAAAATTTCCATTGCCCCCCGTGGCCGGCATGGCACATATATGTGTCACCTGCTGGTCGACACTTACCACTAGACCTTTTAGGAACTTTACAAGGGAAAAAATCCCCAAAGTATGACTTCGAAACATAAAAAAAAATCCCGACCGCTTTGAGGTTAATATGAATAATATTAGACATTCACGTTAACATTCTACCACACCATGTTTCAGGTTAACTCTGCACGTAGACAGTGGCGCCTGTCGATACCGTTACGATTCGACTTATAACCAGCGATCTACTCGCATCCCACTTGCCCCATCAAGTTTGGTTAGAGTATAAATACATCCCTAGATCATTCATTTTTACTTATTAGGTCGTCCATTTAGTACGACGTCACTTCCCTGACCCTTGAATGTCCGTTATAAACGGAATCCACTGTGTTACTGTTGAGTAGAATAATTTATTGCACGTTACACTCTACATTTATAGCCTTGATAACTTTGACACGAAGCATGTAATGACTTTGTTAAGAAGTTTGCATTTTTTATTTCCTAACGATTAATACGAATTGTTCAATGTAATTTCCCATATCCTGACTATTGACCCAAATGTACCGGTCATGAAGTTGCGATGAATCGTAATTAATATGTCATTATCAAAATTATATCAAGAGACTCGGTCGAGTCTCGCGCAAAGTACAGGCAACCGGCTGTA